GAAGGATCCTGGTTATTGAAGTCAAACCTGGCATTTCCTGTGTGAGTCTACTAAGCTCTTATTACCACTAGATGGTACTGATACACATTCATAAATCCTCGTCAGACATGGTAAAGGGTCTGTGCATGCTCGAACACTTGCTCAAACTGAGACTCCGGGACTAAAATACACGATTTTATATAACCAGCCAGGTCTCAGGATTCTCAAAAATTCTTTTGAATATATACCAGCTACTGGTGATGAGACCATAGCTGTTAAAACTGTGAAGGTGACACAGAAAGTAGGAGGGATAGCAAAGTGAGAGAAATAGAAAAATGGAGGTAGCACCGACAGTGCACAACCAAAGCAGCTGCTGAGACTGGGTTACTGGCAGCCTAGATTATTTTAAACTATTGCTTGTAACAGTTTTCTAAAATAAATTTATACAATATATTTGATGTGTATTTCTAAGTGCAGGAAAGCCAGCGATGAGAGGGGAGGATGGCAGTTCTGAGTGTTTACTGCAGTGGTGAAACCCTGCACAGAAATCGCCCACTGTAGCAGGGAGAAGGCAAGATGATCAGGAGCACTGTAAGCCCCTCCCATGTGGCAAATCAATAAGACTTCATCTTTGGGCACCACTCCACCTAAATGTCATCCTACTTCTTTTCACTCTCCTGCTTTCTCTGTATTTTCTAGGCTTACTGATTTTTCATACTTTTTCTCCCGCTGCACTAATATCACTTTTGGCTACTCTCTTTACCCATCATCAGCCTTCTGCCCATCCCTCCTACTTTCACACATACCCAAATCTCTTTCAAATTCTTCAGGCAACACATTCCTGTATCTATAGATTCAGACCTTCAGGCAGCCATTTACTTCTGTCCCTCGCCATCTCCTTCCCTTCTGCTGCAAAGAGGATTAAAAAAGCTGCGGAAAGTAATAAAAAGCAAAGGGTCAGTCTAACTTGAGAAAAGTTGGAGAAGGAAAGAATACAGTAGCTAAAGAAATGCCACTGTGGCTTTGAAAAAAAGGACAACGAAGAGAGGGACAAATATTGATAATTTGGTTTTTCTGTAATTGTGGTAAGAGAATGAACAGTTTGACTGGATCAAAATAGTGGTTTTGACATTTTCAGCAACTAAGAAAAAAATGTGTTGAATGAGAAATGTAATTTAACCACATCAGAAGCACTGCTTTGGTTCTGAATAATTTAAGCTTTACTCGATATTTTAAAATAATGTGTAAAGCTTTTTTAGAAAAGTCTTTTATTTGAAAGGGTTTTCTAATTTCACAAGTGTTTCACTGAAATAAACAGAAATTTTGCAAACAATTCCATGTAACCCTTTTTTGTTGTTGTTGTTAAAAAGCTTTGGATGAAAAATTCTGGCTGGGTCTAATTGGGAATGTGGTTTACTTGAAGCTGCTCTGTAGACTCAAAATAAGAGGATTATGAGATGGCACAGATTCACGGAAGGGGTAAAGGAACTTCTCACTACAGAAGTATTTTGATTATTTATATGTGTGGATATGTACATATGTGTTTACACAGCTGCTTATGAAAGTTACAATAAAGCAGGTACCTGAAAAGCTGGGCTAATTCACACAATATGGAAAAGAAGCTTCATTTTGCCATTAATGGTATATCTTTTAATCATTTGGCCATATAAAGCGTAGAGTTGAAGAAGTGTTCAGTGTCATATGTAAAGAAACTCTACATTAGGGTGAATGATTTTTTGACAGGACAGAGCTGAGAGAAACTTCTGAGTCTTTTCGTGGCTGTCTAAGAGCCCTTCATCTACAGACAATCCTGAGTAATAAAATCAGAAAGAAAACACATTACCAGCTTCTCCTCAGAAATCGGTAAAAATTACTCTTTGTTCAATGTTAAAGCGGAGTATTAAAATGCACAAGTGGCAACTTGCCGTCATTCTGTGGTTCTGTGATCCTTTTACTCTCCAGCTGTGTGTTCCTGTGCTATATTAGAATTGTCCCTAAGTGCATGACTTTTCATTGATAGCTCTGAACTTCATCTCATTCCAGTAACACCAGTCATCAAGCTCATCTAGTCCTTTCTGTATAACAGATTGCTCCTTCTTTGACAATGTCTTCCAACTTTGTGATAGGAGCAAATTACATTGGCATATTTCCACTTTCTTTGCTGAAACAATTAATTAAATTTTAAATAAAATCTGTCCCAACATTCTAATGGTGACAAGCAAGAGCAAAGGGGGTAGAAGAGGGAAAAGGGAGCTTTTTGTTCTTGCAAATAGCAGACATTTAATCTTGTAAATAGTATACATTTAAACAAATAGACTGAATCTAAAGAAATTCCTGTCACCTCTTCCCTCCATGCTACTTAAAAGACTTACAATACTACTAAATTATTCATGGTGCTCTAGATGACTGAAAAACATGTTTGCTAGCTTTGCAGATGACATGAAACTGGAAGGCCTACAGGTAAACAGGAAGACAGAATTAGAATTGAGGATGTCCTGACAAATAACAAAATGGTCTCAAGACCAAAGCAATCCAAGAGATGGGATCCAATGAGGAACAAAACCCCACCAATAGCTCCGCAGCAAAATAGAGTACATACTGCATCACAAACCAAGCATGAGTTAAAAAATGGCAGTCTTACAAAACAAACAAACAAACAAAAAACAACAACAAAAAAACCCCAAGCAAGTATACAGGATTTATAAACTTGTGAAATTGTCTTCTACTCTTCTAGTTGAACAAATATGTCCAACTTGGGTATTACATTTCAAACAACGCAGGGATCACGTGTAAAGAATACAGACCAGAGCAATAAAAATATAACTTATGAGAAAACACCTGAGGAACTGTGGGATTTATTTCTTTCTGTCTCAATTTTACATTGAAAAGCTTGATGGAAGACACAGTGACAGTGTATGTCTAGAAAGCTTCTCCAAGGAAGAGGTGGAATTTGTTTTCTTTTTATCTGCCATACAGGTAAAGAGGTTGTGGGGTTAAACTGCAGCAACAGGGATTTGTTAGGAAAACCTTTTTCCAGGTAAAATAGAGAATTAACAGAATAGACAGACCACAATCATTCAAGTGTTTTAGGAAAGTCCTTGTAAAAAGAAAGATCAGTGATGAGTGTGAAATTTGTAGCAAAACTGATGAGGAAGAGAATCAAGAAACTTGTAACAGGCCCTCACTGTGTTAGGGTCTTAATAAGTGTAGGTTTCTCATTGTTCTGTGCTGCTCCATCTGTTGTGTTTCTCCTCAGGCCTCAAGAGAGAAAGAGCTTATTGTTTATATAGAGGGAAGCAGAAAAGGGGGGTTGATTTCAGTCACCGTTGGCTGAGAAAG